GTGCTCAGGTTGGGCTGCTTGGCGGGGCGCGGGCCTGGCCTGGTTTCCTTCCTCACTGTCTTCTCCTTCGGCTGGGCTGCCGTGTGGCGAGCAGGGTGCTCGCATGGCTTCGTCTGTGAGGCCAGCCCTCCTGGGGCTGTTGGACGAGCTTCACTGAGAGTTGCTGAGTGTGAAGGCTTGGGGGGGGGGGAGGGGGGGTAGAGGGCTGTTTAGGCTCCGCTCAGCCCACACTCCTGGTTCTGACCCAGGCGGCCTCACAAGCCCCCTCTGCCAGCCCCTACCTCCCTTTCAGCTCTCACCGGCCTCAGCCTCAATAGCCTGACCATCTTCTCCTTCTGCACGAGCCCGGAGCTCCGGACCCCGAGCCACCTGCTGGTGCTGAGCCTGGCTCTGGCGGACAGCGGGGTCAGCCTGAACGCCCTCGCCGCAGCTACGGCCAGCCTCCTCCGGTACTGCCCTCCCTGGGCCCTGATCTCTGGGTCCTGCCCCCGGCCTGACCTCTGGGCACTGAGCATTCTCCTACCAACAGAAAACTGACCCGGGCTGGGGGAGGGGGGGCGGGGGGCAGGCTGAGCTGGGCTAGATCCAACCCCAGACCCGCAGCAGTTCCTGGAGCACAGGAGCTCTCCGCCTGACCACAGCGGCTGCCGGGTGAAGAGCGGGCCCTGCCACCGGCTCCCACGTTTGAATCTTGGCTGCATTATTTCCCACCTCTTGGCTTCCTCTCTAAACTGGGTCTTATTACCTAACTCATGTGGGGGTTGGAAGTATGACGTGCTATGACTTGTGAATAGCTTCACACCATCACTGGTCCCTGGGAAGCCCTAAATTATGTTTGTGGAAGCAAACAGGACCTCACAGGGCCTGAGACCTCCTTCTGGGCAATCCGGGTCTTCCCACTCGGCCCCAGCGGGTGTTTCCAAGAGCTCTTAGAGCAGCGGTTCTCAACCTGTGGGTCGCGACCCCTTTGGGGGTCGAATGACCCTTTCACAAGGGTCGCCTAAGACCATCGGAAAACACATATATAATTACATATTGTTTTTGTGATTAATCACTATGCTTTAATGTTCAATTTGTAACAATGAAAATACATCCTGCATATCAGATATTTACATTATGATTCATAACAGTAGCAAAATTACAGTTATGAAGTAGCAACGAAAATAATTTTATGGTTGGGGGTCACCACAACATGAGGAACTGTATTAAAGGGTCGCGGCATTAGGAAGGTTGAGAACCACTGTCTTAGGGGGACTGAGCCCTGGCTCCTGCAGGTGGAGGCTGGCGCCCCTGGTGTGAATGGCCTGGGTCCGAGCCAGTGAGAGCTCCTGGCTGGGACCTCCTCCTGCTTCTGCTGAAGCTCTACCCTTGTTTGGCTCCCGAGGCCATGAGCTGGGAGGCCTGGGGTTCCCTCTGACTTTGCCTTCATCGGCTCTGTGGCCTTGGCTCAGCACCTTATCTTCTCTCAGCCTCAGTTTCCCCATCTATGGAATAAAGGTATGAGCTCTCTTTCCAACCAGGGTGTTCCATTTACTGTAATGGAGGCTCCTGATCACACAGAGACCTTTGTTCCAGCCGTGGGGCTGAGCCTGAGCCTGCACCACCCCTCCCCCACCAAGGGACCTCATAGGAAAAACAGATCATACCGGCCTCACCTGAGGAGCTGGGCTGATGGGCTGATGTCAAGGAAGGGCCTCCACGCTACTCCTGGGCAGGGGTTGGGTGCAGAGGCCAAGGGAGGGTCACTGTGCCCATGTCTCCGCAGGCGCTGGCCCTATGGCTCAGGTGGCTGCCAGGCTCACGGCTTCCAGGGCTTCGCAGCCGCTCTGGCCAGCATCTGCGGCAGCGCGGCCGTCGCCTGGGGGCGCTACCATCACTACTGCACCCGTACGTGTTTGGGGCTCCCAGGAGGAGGGATCCCCAGGCAGTGAGGGTGATCAGGATGGAAATCTGCTCAGTGCTTCCCAATTCAAGGGCGGGGGGGGGTGTGGGTCCACACGGGTGGGGTGCGGGCACCAGGCAAGGAGGAAGACCGCATGTGCTGGACAAGCTGTCTGTGCCCTTGCTGTAGCCTCAGGTAAGTCAGGGATCCTCTTTGAACCTTAGTCTCCTCTTCTGCTAGATGATTTTTGTAACCAATCTCAGTTTTATCCTGAAAATCAAATCAGATCATGGATACAGAAAATGTCCTTGATGACAGGCACTGTTGGGGAGCAGAGAGGTGATGTGTGTGTGTGTGTGTGTGTGTGTGTGTGTGGCTGGGCATGTGACCTCACACCTCACACTTCCACGGAGCCTGTGCCATGCCAGAGCTTCATGAAAACTAGTCTAGCTCTCCATTTCCCAAGCCATATTGTCAAGTGCCATCTTCTTAATTGGCCATGTGAGTGTACCACCTGCTGTTATTTACTTGATATTTCTTTTTTAGAAGTGAGCCGCTTTTAAAATTCTAACACCCTCTTTATTCTTGTTCTAAACAATATCTGTGACCTCACAGCTTTAATGTTCTTATAATTTTAATACACATTAATATAAAACTCATGTTCACCCAAGGCTCTCTAGAATCCCCTTCACCTCAGAGCATACAAACCTGCTTTGGTGAGTAGTGGCTCAGCAAACCCCACGGCAAACCCACAGCAAGCCCCACGGCAAACCCCATGGCAAACCCCACGGCGAACCCCACGGCAAATGCCCAGCTGGCAGACCGGGAAGCAGAGGCTCAGAGAAGTGAGGTCGTGTCTAGGCCACAGCTGATGGGGCTGTGCTGGGAGTCGGCCTGGCCTTTGTGCCTTCAGAGGTGTCCTCTCCCTTGTCCCGGTCTCCACGTTTAGAGCAATGGAGGTTCTGTGGGGTACGTGGTCAGCATGGCCTGGAGCCCTGGGCACGGCCCCTTTGGAACCACAGATCTGCCCTTGCCACAAACACACGCACACCCTTGGCAAAGTCACATTGTTATGGGTTCAATCAGCGAGATAGACCACCAACTCAGAATTTAAATTTAAGAGCCTTTATTAAGCTGGCCAGCGACTACAGTGCGTACCTCCTCACAAGGGAGCCTCGCAGCTGCAGTACCGACCAAGGGTGCAGCAAAGCTTTTATTTGCAAAAACTACAAAGCATTAACTGGCAGGGTAAAAAGTTCAGGAGGAAAATGGGGTCACACCTGGCTGGGTTCAATCATACCACTTTGTTTCTTTAAAACAATCAGTAATTTTTCTATACCGCGGTCCCTGCCCCTAGCACAACATGCTTCTCTCCAGACCAAAACATTGCCTTTGTTCTGGCCTCTCCTGTCCCATCTGACCTTGGAGCTCCTCTCCCACCACCATCCCAGCCCTGCCCCCCAAACTCCCTCAACCACCTCACACACACATGGACTCTCACATGTGCACACACACGCACACCTTCTCAGAGAGCAACAGGCTTCTCTGTCTCAACATGGCAGTGAGCCGGTGCCAGGGCCTAGAGTCCTAGACCAAGGCCCCTCCTGTTCTGGAGGGTGTGTGCAGTGCTAGGCAGGGAGGAGCAGGAGGGGCAGGAGGGGCAGGTGGGACTGAGTGCAAGACTCCCTCCTAGGTGACCTTAGGTGTGCACCTCGGTCATCTGTTTCCAAAGCCAAAAAGGCTAATGCAACACACGGGTCAAGATGTCTTTGAATCATGGTGCCACTGTAATTACTGTGGGTCTTAGCCAGCTAGGAAACACCACAGACGGGGGGCTTCAACCACAGAAAGTTCTCTCTCTGGTTCTAGAAGTCCAAGGTCAGGTGCCAGTACAGCTGGGTTCTGAGGAGAGCTCTCTTCCTGGTTTGCAAGTGCTGCCTCTTGCTGTGTCCTTACATGGAGGAGAAAGAGATCATCTCTCTCTTATCTCTTCTTTTTAAAAAACGTATTTTTATTGATTTCAGAGAGGAAGGGAAAGGAAGAGAGAGAGAGAAACATCAATGATGAGAATCATCCATCAGCTGCCTCCTGCACGCCCCTTACTGGTAATTTTTTTAAAAATATATTTTATTAATACTTCACAGAGAGGAAGGGAGAGAGATAGAGAGTTAGAAACATCGATGAGAGAGAAACATTGATCAGCTGCCTCCTGCACATCTCCCACTGGGGACGTGCCCGCAACCCAGGTACATGCCCTTGACCGGAATCGAACCTGGGACCTTTCAGTCCGCAGGCCGACGCTCTATCCACTGAGCCAAACCGGTTTCGGCTCCCCTACTGGTAATTGAGCCCACAACTTGGGCATGTGCCCTGACTGGGAATCAATCTGTGACCTACTGGTTCATGGGTTGATGCTCAACCCCTGAGCCATGCCGGCTGGGCCTTATCTCTTCATAGAAGGGCACTAATCCAAAATGGAGGCTCCACTCTCGGGACCTAAGTGCCTCCCAAAGTCCACATGGTTATGGGGCTTCATGGTATGAATTTTGGATGGGGAGCATAAAGATTTAGTTCATAGAAGGGGACATATCCAAGCCAACTCTATCTGGGGCTGTGTCCGTGGAATCAGTGTCAGGTGAGGGGGTTGTAGACCTGCTCTTCTCTGCTGATCCCCCTGGAGTCCTGTCCACAGAGGAACATGAGCTATGGACAGAGAAGGCATCTGGGAAAGGCCTTCTGCAGCGAGACCAGGAGGCAGCCCTGGAGGGAAGGGCTGGGTGAGGATGTGAGGAATGTAGGTGGAGGAAGTCAGGCCACTGGGGCCAAAAACACTGTCAGGATCAAAAACACTGTCAGGACCCAAAACACTGTCAGGACCAAAAACACTGTCAGGACCCAAAACACTGTCAGGACCAAAAACACTGTCAGGACCCAAAACACTGTCAGGACCAAAAACACTGTCAGGACCAAAAACACTGTCAGGACCTAGCCTCCACCCATGGCACTGAGATGCCCAAACCCCACGCCCAGAGCTCTTGAGTCCGGAGCAGACTGCTGCTTCTGAGCGAGAGCGAGAGGCGGTAACTCCAGGCTCCACTTCCCTCCGCCAATGCCCCCAGGGCCTCTGCCCGTGTGTCTCTCCTAACTTAGTTTTGGGAAGCACACCTTCTCTTTGCCACCTCTCCTTTCTCTGCCCTCGGAGGAAAGGAGTATGGAGTGTCTGCTCGGTCTTTCCATCTGTGACCTCATTATTCTCCATAGCAGCCCTCTGATGCAGGAACCACCTTTCCTATTTTGTGGAAGGAAAAGTGAGACTCCGAGCTCTTCCCCTGCCTGAGGCCTAAGCTGTTGGGGATCGGATGCAGGGTTCAGGTCATTGTGCCCGACCACGAAGCCCACTGTTCTTCCATCAACTCCTCTCAACAACCCTCCTCCTCCCTGCAGGCAGCCGATTGGCATGGCGCACGGCCGCCTCCTTGGTGCTCTTCGTGTGGCTGTCTTCGGCCTTCTGGGCAGCACTGCCCCTCCTGGGTTGGGGCCACTATGACTACGAGCCCCTGGGGACCTGCTGCAGTCTGGGCTACGCCAGGGGGAGCAGGTGAGGCGGGAGGCGCCCTTCCGGGGGACAGCGATGACATAGCTGAAAATCCAACATTGGCCAGGCAATCCCAACTCCTTAGCTGTGATGCCCACTTGCAGGCTGACGGTGGGCAGGGAAACCCACTCTGACCGGCCGAGTGATGCAAGGTTGCAGTGTGAGTGCAGAGGTGGGCCCGGCAGCGGCCGGCTGTGAGCACTGGCCTGGTTGGTGGTAGCAGCTGCTGAGCCCAGGACCCTTGGCCATCTCAGCAGTCAGCCGTTGGAGCTTCGACTTGCTTTCTTTCTACAGGGAGTCCTGCCCTGGGGTTCGATGGATTCAGGGAATGTCACGGTCTTTGCTTTGGGAGGAACCTCCTTGGCACAGTGCTCAGGTCTCTAAATCCCCTGAGCCTCTGTGGCAGCCAGGCCCTGGGCCAGCCCTGGAGAGACAGCAGATGCACAAGGCTCGCTGTCAGGGAGCCATGTCTAATACTGCCTGTCCCCTCCCCGGGGCCCCTGGGAGACCAGGACTGAGAGGAGGGGCCACATGGGCTCCAGCTCCCCTCTCACTTCCACTAGAACCGTGTTGCATTTGCTGCTTTATATGTTTACTCACATTTGCTCACGAAGTGTCTGCCCCTGACGAAACCCACTTGAGAACCCTGGGTCCTCCCAGCACCTGCCATGCACTCTGGGCAGCGTTTCCCCGGCTGCCTCCTGCACATTGATCGGCTGCCTCCTGCACATCCCCTACTGGGGATGGAGCCCACAACCCGGGCCTGTGCCCTGACAGGAAATTGAACTGTGACCTCCTGCTTCATAGGTCAACTCTCAACACTGGCCGGCGACATGGTATCTTCTTAATGAAGGGTCGGCCCTTGCACCTCCCATGACCACAGCAGTTTCTTCAGTGACACAGTGCCCAGTCTCTGCCATCCACAGGCCCCTTTAGAATCCCTGTGCCAGGAACACTCCTGGAATGCTCCTTCCTCTTGGTCCATTGGCATCTCCATCTGGTAAACATGGTTCCCAAACAGAAGTGCCCACCGCCCATGCTGGGGGCACATACTGATCTGGGTACCTGGATGGGCAACAGCTAGTGAAGGAGGACCCTCACCCAGCTCCCTGGCTCCTTCGGGGCGTGTAGGAGGCCCTGGTGGCTTCCTGGTTCTGAGGGAGTGCAGGCAGGACGGGGAGTGGCCACACTCTGAGCTCCCATCTCGTGGGAGCAGTTCCCGCATGCGACTGCCCGCAGCTGAGGCGGAGGGACTTGGGGAGCTCTCACCCTTGAGGGACAGCCTCCCGCTCCCCTCTGTCTGCAGAAACTTCACCAGCTTCCTCTTCCTCATGGCCTTTTTCAACTTCCTCCTGCCCCTCTTCATCACATTCACATCCTATCGGCTCATGGAACAGAAACTCGGGAGGACCAGGCCCCCCCAGGTAAGGCCTAACCCCAGAGCAGAGGACTCTGCACTGCTCAGGGACATGGCAGATGCAATGGGGTTCCTGTGTTTTCAACAATCAGAAGCAATGCAGCTGTCCCAGGGGAGGGCGAGAGCGCCCCTCCTGTGGGTGCTGGGGATTGGTCGCCATGACCTTAGGGAAGGGCCAGGGCTGCTCAGGCTTACCGGCTGGACACTGAGCCCGGAAAGCCGGGGCCCTGCCAGACTCCGTCCACACTGTTACGGTTCTTTCTTCTCAAGGACGTGAGGGTTGGCACAAAATCACATGCTTTTTAAAAAAAAAATTTTTTTTATTGATTTCAGAGAGGAAGGGAGAGGGAGAGAAAGAAACATCAATGATGAGAGAGAATCATTGATCAGCTGCCTCCTGCACGCCCCACACTGGGGATTGAGCCCACCACCCGGGCATGTGCCCTGACCGGAATCAAACCATGACCTCCTGGTTCAAAGGTCGATGCTCAAACACTGAGCCACAGCAGCCGGGCAAAATTGCATGCTTTTTCAAAGCTGCTTGAACGCATGGAAAGGATGAATCTAATCCCAGGCACCAGCTCTTCCCCCTGACGTGAACTCATACCCTCGGCCACTTCTGAATTTCCACAGGGATATTTCCCTGCCACAATTTTGTTTTAACTTTGTCACCTGGATAATCTTTAGCAGATGAGTTAAAATAAGCATCAGAGATTTTTTAAATCCAGGTATTAATGGCACATTTTCGAAACTCCCAGAGGAGGAGCGGTCTTATTGAGGGGCTGGCTGAGCCCTCTGCCGCCGGCCGCTGCGGTTGGGCAGGAAAGGGAGCTGGGCCGCTGAGACGCCTGCGCAGGTGCTTCCCTTTGACCTGGAAGCGGGGCACACTCTGCGAGCTGCAGGCGGGGCCCTGAGTCCCAGCAGGAGGGCCAGGCTGTGCTGGGACCTGAACTGCGTTCAGGTTCAGGTTCCGGGCGGCTCCTGGGCGGGTCGCCCCGCAGGCCGGTGCCATAGCCCGGAGATCAGGCTGCCGCGGGCATCCTCATTCTTTCGAGTTGACTTAAACCATGAGGCCGACAACATCAGCGGGCGCCGCCCTGGCCCTGGCCCCGACCCGGCCGCGCGCTTAGTCCTTCTGTGAAAGGAACACAGTCTAGAGAAACAGACACTGAGGTTTAGGCTCACAAGTCCTTGCCCGAGCGCAAGTGAGAGGAGAGCATGGCAACTTCCTCTTACAATTAGATCGCGAGCAAGAAGCCCCCTGCGTGGCACCACATCGCCTGTCCTGGTTGTGTCTCCCGCGTGGGAAGCGGCCCCTCTGAGCCCAGGACCCCAGTGCAGCTGCAGGAGAGCTGGTTCCCAGGCTGAGGTGCGAGGGCCGCGCAGGGACCCTTGTGCACACAGACATACTCAGGGAGCCCGGGTTCGACCAGACCCTGCCTCCAGGCCAGTCAGGTAGAATCTGGCCATTTTACAGACAAGGCAACTGAGGCTAAGCAAGCTTACATGACAGGCTGAGGCTGTGCATCTGAAATGGCAGAAGGGCCCCTGGGGCCCCAAGCTCCCCCACAAGCTCAGCGCCTTCCCGCAGCCCGGCCACATGTCAGTCTGCACATGCCCACACTGTCCCTGGCTGCCTGGGCTGCCAGCCATCATGGCAGTCATGCCCCCTCGGTGCCCATTTCTCCCCAGGTGAATACCACTCTGCCAGCCAGGACGCTGCTGCTCGGCTGGGGCCCCTACGCCCTCCTGCATCTCTGTGCAGCCCTCGCGGGCACGGCCCTCATCCCCCCCAGGCTACAGGTGGTAAGGGACCCCCAGTGCCAGAGCCTGGGCTTGCTCCACCTTTGTCTCTCTCTTGCTTTCCTACCTCCACGATATTCTCTCTTTCTCTCTTCCTTTAAATACCCATAATTCACTGGGACTGTGCTTGTCGCCCAGGCCACAAGGGCAGCTGCTTGATGCTGCCTAAGCCTCAGGTGAGGTGACAGGGCAGACGGCCAGAGGGGGACGTGCCTCTGGGGCCAGGGACTAAGGCTGTGCCCAGAGCCATGTGCTCCCAGACAAGACACATGGACAGCTAATCGGAGAGGACAGGGCAGCAGGACAGTGATGGGGCCTTGCGGGGTGGAGGGGATCACCAGGTGGGACCAGGGAGATAGGCAGAGGCTCTGCAATTTCTTTCCTGGTGTTTTTGCCACAACAGGTGCCCGCTCTCATTGCCAAAATGGTGCCCACAGTCAATGCTGTGAACTACGCCCTGGGCAGTGGAATCTGGCAGCGCCTGTCCCTGCAGTGAAGTGGGTGGGACTCGGCCCAGGGAGCCACTTGGGTTCTGTGCTGACCAGGGCTGACCAGGACCCCCCCTCCCCCGCACCCCCTCCCACCGCCTGGACAGAGCCAGGGCTGGGTGCTGCCTGTGGGTCCTAACCAGCAGCCCCAGAGCCAAACTCCAGACATGCATCCTTCAGCCCTAATGGCCATGAGCCCAGCCCTGGGCCAGACACTGTAGGGAGAGGCTCTAGGGTCAAGCCTTGGGCTGACCTATGGCAGGTCAAGTCCCTTAAACAAGTCCCAGCCTGGAGGGCAGAGCTCTCCTAGCATAATTAAGCCTGACCTTGTAGCCCTCCCTAATTCCGTCCTAAGTAGCTAATGGGCAGCAAGTGTTGCCAAAACAAGAACATTTGTATACATGTTAATCTACCCTTGTTTTAATCAGACTATAAAATAAAGCATTAGCTTGCAGGCTGGTCTTTTGTGTCCTCATCCAGGCACGGGAGATCCACCGAGCCCCAGCTGTATTCTCTTGTCTGTCTTTTCTTCGATCCTTCACCACTTCTCCTCAGGTTCACCCTGGGCCGTGCACAGCCCAGGACACAGGGCCTTGAGATGCCAGGCTGCATGACAGGAGTGGGGGGGGGGGGCGGGCAGGAGCTGAATGTGAGTCCTAGCTCTCCTCCCCAGGGCAAGGGGAGGGAAGCCATTGCTCCTGACCCTGACATAAATGTTAATATGGCTCCACTGGCTACTGTGAGGCTCGAACAGGATGATGTGCACAGGAAAGCTGCTCATTGAAACAGAACTGAGAGCACTCAGAAGCTGAGGTAGAGCCCGGTACCCGCAGCTCAGCCCGGCTGCTGGCATTCGGATTCCACTGATTACATTGTGATCCGGGTATGTTTTCTAGCTTCCAGAGCAATGTCAGGACGGCCGGGTGTGTGGAAGGGGCCAGGGTGCTCCCTGAGTTACCCGCCAGCACGCCCTAGTCAGACAGCAGCCCGTGCTGCTTAGTCACCAACATTAAAAAAAGATTTATTTAGAATCCCAGACGCCTGAGAAGGAGGCCTGCGCCTCCGCTGTGGGACAGGTGCAGGGCTCAGGCATCGCCGCCCGGGCCAGCATGTCCTGCAGGAGCGGCACCGTGCATTCCCTGCGAAGCCCATGGCACCTGGGCTTGTGACACTAACACGAAGTCCCCACCCAGGGCCCACGTCTGTTCCTCCTGAGTCAGCGCTGCAGGGACAAGGAACTGGAGCTGGGTAGATGGGGATGGGGGCGCAGGGCTCCGCAGAAGGCCTGGTGAGGCAGGAAGGGCAGAGCTGCAGGGGGAAGGACAGTCCCAGGGTGGGGTCCTCAGAACAGAAGCTGGGTCCTTGGCACCAGCATCTGACTCTGTTGCAGATGCAGAAATCAGGCCACACACGCAACTCAGGGCATGCACACAAGCAGAGGCCAGTAAGTCATTCTGCACCAGGTGGTGAGGCGCAGCCGCCCTCTCAAGCTCTTCTAGGCCATGCCCTGTGCCAGCCGCTGCAGAGAAAGGACATCACTGGCCTCACTCCAGCGCTCACACGGGGCTTGTCTTGGGCCCTAGAGTGGGGCCAGGAGGGAAACTGAGGCCTGAGTGGTGCACACCCACAGGCTGTAGGTGGCCAGGAAGGCCACGGGCTCAGCGCCTGGACGTGTGCCACTGCCAGAGCCTCAACTGTGTTTATCGAGGAGCGACCTTCACTCACCATTTGCCATCCTCACCCACGAGGGACTAGGAAACACAGTGAGAAGAAGAGAGAGGAGCCCAGACTGAGGAAGGGTGGAAGCTGAGAGGCTGAGGACGCCACGAGTGGCAGCCTCCACACAGGCCCCGCCCCCCTGTGCTCAGTAGAGGGTGGGAGGCGGGCAAGACGGCCAGTGGGGTCAAAGACACCTTGAGCCCAAGCTCAGGTTTGTATGGAGCTGGGAATAGTGGGCTCAGGACATCTCCCCACTGGACTGGGTCAGCAGGAAAGGAGAAGGGCTGCAGCGGTGCCCTTGGCAGGGGGTTGGTGGCGGGGGTAGGGGGGCAGGCAGGGAATCCCCAAAGCCTGAAGCCCTTTGCTTGAGAAATTCCAAGTCCACCCATGCCCTCGCCTCCACTCACATGTGGGCCTAGGAAGCCTCCTCACCTTTGGGTGTGATCCAAAGTCCTCTGGGCACCATGTGCAGGCCTCTCACCCTGCCCTCCTGCCCTCCAGCCCCTCAGCCCTCAGCCCCCCTCCCAGCCTCACCCTTCTATGAAGCAACTCAGAGAGACACGGGAGGGGGCTGACTCCGACACAGGCCTGCCTCTCTGTCAGCCTTGCATAGTCACTGGGCGGGGTCAGAGCCACCGGTCCACGGCTGGGGACCCCCAGGACTTCCTCTGTTCTCAGTGGCCCTGGGCCAGACCGCAGCCCTCCCTGCGAGCTGGTTTCCCCAGGGAACAGGTGTCACTCTACAGTCAGAGAACACGGAGAGCAGCGACTCTGCCTCCTTGGAGCTCTGCTCTGGGCCCCTCTGTGGGTCTGATTTTGGTGGCCGTTCCTCCCATCTCCTCGCTCTCCTGCCTGCCCACAGCTCCTGTTGAGCAAGGTCTCACTCTTTCTGGGCCCCAAACCTCTCTTCTCCACTCACCTGTGCGGCCCCTGATGCGGCCTGGTAGGGACAGTGCACACCCCCCACCCCCCCCACCCCCCCGCAACACATGGGCTTGGGAGGCACACACCAGTGTGGCTCCACTGCCCAGCCATCTGTCACTGGGGCTGCCATGCTCTCCCCAAGATCCTTGAATGTCAGGAAAACTGAGGCCAAGTAGGGGGCAAGGGAACAAGAGCCCTGAGAAGCCAGGAAAGAGGTGAAAGCAACAGAGTCCAGAGCCTGGTCCACAGACCTGAGAGTGCAGGCCTCTTCACTGGGCCTGGGGCCCGCCCTGCCCATGCGTCAGGCCTCCCCAGCCCTCCAGGCCCAGTGGCTTCAGCCCACACCCCGCCAGAGACTCAGAATGGACTTGCAGAGGCTGCCAGGAGGCAGGTGAACCACCAGGCCAGGTCCTGGAAGACAACCACGCAGCCCCTCCAGCAATCACGTCCTTGTGTGCAGGTTCGTGTCCAGAATTTGACCCCAACCCCTGTCTGTGTCATCTGGACTTGCTCATCTACTCACTCAGTGGGTATTACTGAGCAGCTGCCGTGTGTCAGACTCTGTGCTGATGGGATGACACGGCCAGGACGCTTCCCCATGACCGCAGGAGACATCCATGGCCTCTTTGTCTCTTCATGGCACTTGTGACTAAAAAATAGGTACTATCACCAACTGACACCACACACAGAATAAACTCAAAATGGGTAAAAGACTTAAATTTAAGTCATGAAACCATAAAAATCCTAGAAGAATCCATAGGCAGCAAAATCTCAGACTTTTCACATACCAGAATTTTCACTGATACATCTCCTAGGGCAAAAGAAAACTACACAAATGGGACCACATCAAAATAAAAAGCACAGCAAAAGAATCCATCAATAAAATGAAAAGGGAGCCCACTGTATGGGAGAACATATTTGGCAATGATACATCTGATAAAGAGTTAATATCCAAAATACATAAGGAACTTACACAACTCGACACCAGGAAGACAAACAATCCAATTAAAATATTAGCAAAGGACATGAATAGACACTTCTCCAAAGAGGACATGCAGACATATGGCCAATAGACATATGAAAAAAATGCTCAACATAATTAATCATCAGAGAAATGCAAATTAAAACAACAATGAGGTACGATTTCACACCTGTCAGAATGACTAACAGCAATAAATCAACAAACAACAAGTGCTGGGGAGGATGTGGAGAAAAGGGAACCCTTGTGCACTGCTGGTGGGAACGCAGACTGGTGCAGCCACTGTGGAAAACAGTATGGAGTTTCCTCAAAAAATTAAAAATGAAATTGCTGTTTGACCCAGCAATTCCACTTCTAGGACTACATCCTAAGAACCTGAAACATCAATCAGAAAAAATATATACACACCTATGTTCATAGCAGCATTATTTAAAATAGTTAAGATCTGGAAACAGCCCAAGTGCCCATCCATAGACAAGTGCATAAAAAAGCATTTACACCATGGGATACTGTGCAGCTATACAAAAAAAAGGGGGGGGATCTCTTACCCTTTGTTACAACATGGAGGGACCTGGGGAGTATAATGCTTAAGTGAAATAAGCCAGTCAGAGAAAGACAAGTATCACATGGTCTCACTCATATGTGGGATCTAATGATCAAAATAAACTGATTAACAAAATAGGACCAGAGGTATGGATGCATGGAATAGACTGACAGCTGTCAGAAGGGAGGGTGGGAAGAGATTAACCAAAGACTTTGTATGCGCATCTGCATCACTCATGGACACAGACAGTAGGGTGGTGAGGGGCTGGGGTGGGTAGGGGCTGGGTGGAGGAAGCCAGGCGGGGAGGGAATGGTGAACATCTTAATACTGTCAAAAATACTTAACAATAAATAAATAAATAGGTGCCAATATGGATACAAAGACCAAGTAAGTGGCATTAGTCACAGTAATAAGGGTGATCAAGAGGACTCGGACCTTTCCTTCAGCATCTCTACAGTCTTTACCCCAAACTCCGCCGCTCCTCCTAGACAGATAGACATGCCCTCTGGGCTTCACTGGCATTTGGTGTCATCGTGTGTTTCACAGAGCTGCTCAGGTGTGGAGAGAGGAGTGGGTGAAATATGAGGAAAGGGAGATATGAACTGGGTAATTGTTTCAATGCAGGAGTGGAGAGGAGGATCTGTCCCAACGGGGAGGAGAGTAGTAGGATTCAAGGGAGAGCAAGGAGTGAGAAAAAACTGGTGGTTTCCAATGAAAACCAGATGGTATGCCTGAAGTCGTGAAGGTGAGAGATGTTGTATAGCCTTGTGGGTCACAAGGTCCTGAAGATGATGAGGGGATTTGATAGCTGTGTGCTGCCCAAAGGTAAGTTTAGAGCTTTC